GGCACAGAGTTTGCTGGATTGACACGCAAAATACAGGCGCTACTCCGTCCGCGCTTGGATACTGAACATTTGATTCACAATGCTTCCGCCAGCTTCGCAAGTGTGACTGACGAGAGCAAACCAAAGCTCTGCGAACCTGTAGGCGACATCAGACTGATGTGCGGCAGCGCTTGCAGCGGCCGATCAAGTTGGACGACGGGTTGGATGCCTCGCCGCTTCTTCTCCATCCAATGGCGCCAGAGCGCGATGAAGAAAGGTTTGATCTTTTCGATGCTAAAGAGAAAGAGCAAAATTTGTGGGATGACGCCGTCGTGTATTCACTGCACGCCAGCGCAGAAAACACATAGGTCGATTGCAGGGTGCCTGGATTTGGACCCACCACCGATCTTCTGACCGCACTAACCACGCACTTTAAGTCTTCTCGTCCTGCTGCACCTCGATATGCGCGGTAAAAGATTGTTCGCAGAAGGAGACCCTCTGTTGCGCAGTCGCAAGCTCGCAGCTGACATCGCGCAGCTGTGCTGGCATCTAGCACGTACTCTGCTCCCACCTATCTCGGTCCAAAATCGATGCAGAGCCTGCCCGCAAAGGCGTCCCAAGTCTTCAGCCATTCCGGCGTGACTTCGCTAGCTGTCTGTCCGACACTGTAACTGCCGCAATTGGCAAGGGCTTGAAAAGCCGTATCCCTAGCAGGTCCGCTGGTCCGACTGAGCGCATAAGCGATCCGTCTCGTATCGTCGTCGATGCCATCTCTTTGGAATATCAACTCGAGCTGAAAGAGAAAGTCGTGAAGCGTCGATGGGTCCGATTGCCATGCTGTTGGTGGCTCTCTGGGCGGCATCAGGGACATGTACGTCCTCATCGCTGTGGTGACCCTCTGAACCGCATCGAGCAGTGGGTCCGTCGCCTCTGCATCGAGACCCGCGGACCGTCCAGCAGCCATACCCGTGAGCCAACCTATAGACAGCTTGAGTCACGCAGCTATCGCTACTCACCAGCAATGGCATTGCGAAGCTCCATCTGCGTGATCTTCCTTCTGAAGCCAGCCGAATCGGGCTCAGGAGGGGCAGTTGCGGGCCTTGTCCATCCATGAGCCACCTGAGCAGAGAAGGGCTGCTGCTGATACACCCTCTGCTGATCGGCAAACGAAATCGATCCACCTGCGCCGCTAGCGCCTTGCTGCGGCGGATGAGTCACAGTCGGAGGTGGTGGAATAAGGCTGGTAGACGATTGGGACGCCGCGGCACCGCTCGGTGCCTGAAACGATGGTTGGGATAGTAGGAGCACGAGTGGCCGCATGT